CCTCTGTGCCCATAGAACTGAATGAAATGTCACTTTTGACATTTCAATAAAGTTCTAAAAAAAAAAAAAGTACACAGTGCAATGTGCCAGGATCTGCACATCAGTCAGCACTGTCGGGCACTGCACACAAGCTTCTGTGCGTTTAGTGCAACGGCTAGTGTGAATTGGCCCCCAAACGTAGTACACTTACCCTTTTGGCCCCTTTAAGATGATGTCAAAATCCCTCCTCCTGCACAGATGCATGCTTACTGAGTTCCGATGGGCCTGGCCTCTGTTGTCTGTTTAAATCCTGCAGCAGGCGTCTCCCTCTTCTGGCCGTGCCTGCGCAGTGCATCTGCATTGACTTCTATTGGGCTCATCTGACACGCCCTGGAGATTAACCCATAGAGGTCAGTGGGGATGTACTGCACAGGTGTAGCCAGGAGAGCGAGACGTCCACAACAGGATATAAACAAACAGGGAAGTATGCATCTGTGCAGGGGGAGGGAGGGAACAGTGAAGTCACCTTTTAGGGACCAAAAGAATAAATGCGCTCTGTTTTAAAGTGCACTTTAAAACATTATGCAATGTAAGGGAGGGATACTCAAGAAGAGGGGCTTTCCATGATTTGAATACACAACATAGGCATAGTACAATAATACAATTGATTGTTAATAAAATGCCATATCCATTCAAACTTACTTTCAATTTTTATTGCTGTTTTTGACCCTGTTAAGTAGATTTATTTTCCTGTTTTGTGTAACAGATAAGTATCAGACAGGACAGGATGTGATTAGGACCCAAATAGCAATAAACACTAATTTGTAGAGTAGAAAAAGGTGATCATCTCTGTGACCTTTTTGGTTTCCTTGAATGTTTCCACATGTGTCCAGGTGGCAGGTGTCAGACAGAAGAGGAAGTGAGGGGAAATCTCAAACAGTAGTAAAATTGTGCCAGGAATCCTAACCCTTTCCTGCTCTGACATCACAGGCTGTGTTTTGTGAATGGCTAAGCAGATCTTTCAGTGTATGTTCCAGGTAACAGGTCAGTGAAGCTCAGAAGCACATAATCAATTAAGAACACTTAGCACATTTACCGGAAGTCATACCTGTTCACACCAAGTCCATTGAGCTGCGCTTTTCTGCACGCCACATGTACAGCGTGAACAGGGCACATAGAAAATAATTGTGTGGTGGTGTGCAGAGAATCACAGTTCAACAGACATGGTGTGAACAAGCCATACAATAAAAAAGTAAAAGCCGCTATGCCTGGAGTTGGACTTTAAGCTTAACACTAGTGAATTCTTGCTCATGATACTGCTGGGTAGTTGTATATAAGGATATTGGAGTCAAGATTGCTCCAGTTATTGCACATAATGCTTTCATTATTCTTGGATTTTTACGCCCTGTGTGCCAAGCAGAGCATGTTTTTATTTAAAGATGACCCCAAGATAAGGATAGAATAATATTCTTTATAGAGGAGAAAAGGATGATGGATAGGACAGTTGTGTAATAGGAATTTAAAATCTTTATATTTTATTATATACTTATGAGTGTGATTAACCTGATGTACAATAATCTTTTTAATACTTATAAAAACCAGTTTCTGCATATAATTGAGAATATATTTTAACAACAACAAAATGTACAGAAAATGGGGCGTTTGAGGCGTCACTCTAGGCATGGAAAAAAGCACACTTATTTTGTGACGAAGAAGTCACATCTTTACTAAAAATGGTTAATTAGTAACATCTATATAAAACATAAAAGCAATCCCACTGGTACTAAATTGTGTATCAGTGGTAGTTCCCGCGATACAGTATTGTCTCTTTTTGACTAGGCATTAAACCTCCCTGGACCCCACAAACACATTCTATACATAACCAATGCAATAAGAACATTTAAAACATCAATCTAAACATCAATTTCCTCGTAAACATTAACTTGTCACATATTATCATTGCAGTTAGCATCCTAAAATCTTGCATCAATGTGCCGTGGGGCCAGCCTTCTATGCGTGTCACCAAAGCTTCATCAGGAAGATGGAAGGCACCCTATAATGTTTGCAGAGCGAGGTTATAGTTACATTTTGCCATCATGAATAATTCACATATAATACAATTATACACATACACCGCAAAATAAGTAGCAGAGTAAATACCCTTTAACTGGGAACGTAATGGTGAATAGGTCCACAAATCCGGGGGACAATGCTCGTCCAGGGAGATTAGCTACAGTGCCATGGGCTTTAAACTTCTCGCCATTTTTGGTGTTTTGCGTGGAATGTGTTAGATTTGGCTTTTTTTTCTCCACTGTTTTGTGTCATACCAATACAAACAAAAGAAATAAACATGAGAATGCCTAAACATTTGTTATTGCTACAATTTTCTACGCAAATTGGTGCATTATCTGACAGAAATGCAGGGGTGCCAATATTTTTGGCCATGAATGTACAGTGAGGAAAATTAATTATTTGATCCCCTGCATATTTTGTAAGTTTGCCCACTTACAAAGAAATGAAAGTTCTATAATTTGTATCATAGGTGTATTTTAAATGATAGAGACAGAATATCAACCAAAAATCCAGAAAAATCACATGATACAAATGTTATAAATTGAGTTGCAGTTCCGTGAATAAAATAAGTATTTGATCCCCAAGCAAAACATGACTTAGTACTTGGTGGAGAAACCCTTGTTGGCAAGCACAGAGGTAAGACGTTTCTTGTAGTTGGTTACCAGGTTTGCACACATCTCAGGAGGGATTTTGGTCCACTCTTCTTTACAGATCTTCTCTAAATCCTTAAGTATCTTGGCTGTCGCTTGGCAACTCGAAGTTTCAGCTCCCTCCATAAATTTTCTGTAGGATTAAGGCTTAATTTTCTATAGGCTAGGCCACTCCATGACCTTAATGTGCTTTTTCTTGAGCCACTGCTTTGTTGCCTTGGCGGTATGTTTTGGGTCATTGCCATGCTGAAAGACCCATCTTCAGTGTTCTGGCTGAGGGAAGGAGGTTCTCATCCAAGATTTTACAATACATGACCCCGCCTATCGGCCCCTCAATGCTAGCAAGCAGTAGATCTATGCCAAAAAAAATAAAATAAAAATGCTTTAAAAGTTTAAACTTACCCCTGTCTTCACCGCGCGCACCCCACCGAAAATGCTTGGGCGGCCGCAAAGCATCTCAGGGCGGGCGCATGCGCAGTTTGGATTTTCGCCCGGGAGACGAGGAGAGACACAAGGTAAGCATATGGACAGCGTGCACCCGCTTGCAGACACCGCGGGATCGGAAGTGCCAGCAAGGACAGAGGAGTCAGCGCTGGATCGGAGACCCGCAGCAGTGCTGGAGAGAAGGCTGAAAAGGACAGGGAAGAAGATCGGATTAAGAGACATCATTTAAGGTAAGTGCTTTCATTAACATTGGGGGAAGGGAAACAAGTTTTTGACTTTAATGTCACTTTAAGGCATGTTGTCATTCTAAATGCAGAGAACATCATTCTTACAAAAGTCTTATTAGTAGCCAGTTGTTGCTGTTTATCTTCCATACTGCGCTCATGTGTGGTTCATATATCTTCTCACAATTGGCCTAAGGAGATTTATCTTGGAAGATATCTCTGGAGAAGAGCCAGTAAATCATATGATGAAACATTTCTTGAATTTCCTCTGTTCTGTTTTATGGTATACTAAGATGCTCTTGTTAAGATTTATTCGGATAGCATGACTTTGTAATGTGGTGTTGATTTCCCAGAGGATCTATTGCCAAAGGAATACTGTATGTTTGTGCTTTAGATACCCTACTAATCAATGACTCAGTAGGAAAATATCAGTTTTTACAAAATTTCTGACCCATTACAGTGTTTACCTGAAAATAAAATGTATTCAATAAAGTAATTTATTAGAAACTAGATAAAGATGGCCTAAATGAAATGCAGAGTTTCCCCAAGGTAAAACTTAGATCACCCACCAGTTCAACGCTGAGTTTGTAGGTTGTATTTAGAAGGACGTG